ATAAGCATGAGACGTTTAGATCCATCTGTCGGCGACTGTACATTACGTCATATGATTGTATTTGCTTAAATTCTTGCGTTCTCATTGAGCGCCGGATGGTCTGGAGTCAACGAACTCATTATTGTGCGCGGTGTGACAGAATTTTAATTATTTTTATATCTGTCTTTATCTATAAGTAAATTCTATAAACCTAAAGATATCGCACGAGACAGCATAATGTACAAAATATTATCTGATTGATGTATTTACAATTTTTTAGTCAGCCATACATTTAGCTATGCGGCGCCTAGAGTTGCGGGCGCCCTTGGCCAAGTCTGATTTTGGAATTTTCCTCACAATCTCTGACACCTATTGCCTTATGATGCTTGCTGAGTATAGATCGTACAAGTTTTATTCCATCTTTAGATTAGTCTCGTTGTGTCACAAGACTAGTATTGTCTCGTCTTTGTCCAAATTAAGGACATCCTTCTTACAAACCACATAGCTCAGGTTATCTAGTCGAATAATTATAGGTACTCTAAAACTTACTTAGTTTTGGTGAATTTCAATATTATTAATTTTAATATTTAATTGAATTATATTTTAAAAATTTCCACTAAGCATTTGTAAGATTACTGAGCTAGTTTTGACACTAATTTTACCAAAAAAACTGCTATTACTAGCAATTGTTATTATATTTTTTGCATTAAAATATAGCACAAAAGTAGTAAGTATAAAAAATAGTCTTTAAAATTGTCTGTGTAATATATAAAAGAACAGGAATAGGGAATCGGCGGCGCGACGGCGTGTGCTGAAACCCATCGGTACCTCAGCGGTGACGTCACCGGGCGCAGGCTGCCGCGAGCCGAGCGCCGAGCGCCCACCAAGGACAGTAAACATCAACAGGTCAACGCTCGCCGCCGTCTCTAGCCAGCTTTTTTCATTTCGGCCCTGACTGTCCTACGATCTCTTCATGATTAAAGAGGCCCGATAAATGATTGACAAACCTGATTTTCGTTTATCGACAATATTTCTTGAATGAAACTATAAAAATATCTTAATTTTATTGCAGATCGAAGCTAGGATATCATAAATAAGACAATTTCATTGACCCTGGTGACTTATATCGAATTTAAAACTAAAACTCATAACGACTATCGTGAAGAGGTGTAGGCAGAGATTAAGTTGTCTTTTCATGTGACATTGACGGAGCTATCGCGTTTTATCGGCTCATCCATTAATACACATAAGGTTACTCAACGATTGAAGAAATAAGCTTTTACTGTTCTCTTTTCGTGGCTTTGGATTAGGACCTGTGACTAGACTGAGTACAGAGCACAAATATCCTAAATAATAGCCATATAGTCAATTTATGTTAAGGATTTACGTGTATGTTGGTGTAGTATTATGGTTGGAAGTCACAATTTTCTTAAGGTGATACAAACGAGGCAAGTTATGAACTATAGAAGACATACCACCCTTTCTATTAAACTGTCATGGTTTTTACAAATATAATGTTCGTAAGATACGGGTTTCTTACCACGATTGAATTGTTTTAGCTCCCGATATTTCGGCACAGTTACATGCGCCATGTTCACGGGCTGACTAACTGTTCCAATCGTGGTAAGAAACCCGTATCTTACGAACATTATTCTTGTCATATATTTCACGATAATGCAAGACACTGTATCAATATTAAAATTACTACTATTAAGAAGAAAATTAGAACCGCGCAGTAAATTGACGCAACAATAGATTATCGGCATAAACGTCACAACTCTAACTGACAGCTGTCAATGTCATTGCAAGGATTGAATTAGCGGGCATTTCTGGCAGGACCGCTAGTTCAGAGTTAAAATATCGCAAGTTACAATTATATTAATTGTTTAAAACAACAAAGTTTAAAATTGTAATCGACTCGCCACCCACTTAGCAAACTGTCGCAAGCACCGACCCTCGTAGCTCGTAGATCTGTATCTACTAGATGATCGTAAAACGTGTCAGCGCGAGCCTGTGCAAAGGGATTGAATACTAAATTATACACATTTCATAAACAAAGTCATAATGTAATATCAAAGGAGAAATCTTAGATCCAGCGTTGCTGATATGTAACATGTTCGGCTGAAGGTCGACATTTTTATTAAAATAGGACAAACTATGTGACATACTTAAACGTAATTTTGTTTCTATCATACACATTTTTTCATAGCGATTAAGACCTAATCACTTAAATTTTAATGATGTATTTACAGTGATCATTGATTATTTTAATTCTATAAGTAATAGTTTTTTTAAATATAACGAAAGTAGTTCAAAGGTAAATGTTAATATGTTCATTTATACCTTTACAATGATCTGTTTTCTATTCATAATGATATTGTTATTGTTATCTTGATATTAAGATCAACTCCATCCTACGCTCAACACGTCCGTTGAACGGAACTAGTTTTAAATTCGGAATTCCGGTACACTTGAACTCTTATCTGTATTGTCACGGATCCGGTTCGTTTGAATGACGAATAAAAATGGCGGAGCCGTTGTGATATTCCACGAGTTATATTCGCAAACTTTGTATCTTCTTTTTTTTACTGTAAAATTATAAACTTATTTATGTAAAATCCTCCTTAAACTACATATTTATACTTTTATGTGCTTTAATTGTAAGATTATTATACTTATACTCAACTTTAAAACCGGAAACTCGAGCGTGCAATGTCGATTGACGTTTTTAGAGCAATTTTTTATCTGTCGCCGTTTTGGTTCGGTAATCGCACGGTTACGACTTCGAAAAACCCCTCTTGCACTTATCGCTTACGTTTTAATGGAATTTTTGGTACATAAAAATATTAACATTGTCTTCTAATAGTGCTCAAATATTTGAACATGTTTCTGATTTGTTTCAGTTTAGAAAATATAACAAACTAGCTGTTCCCGTGCGACTTCATCCGCATAAAATTATGAAAATTTTATTTTATTGTTTACATGTGTCAAATTATCAATAGCAAATGTCAAAATGGCATGATGCTGACATACCATGGCAACCTTGATGTTCCTTGATTGGCTTGGTTGGCAGTAACTTATGGTCTCTTTCCCACATTAGAGTTTTATCCAAAATATTTGCCCCCTAAGTTTAATGGCGTGAAAATATACAAATCATAACCAATTTATATACTAATTTGCCTATAAATCTGGAAGTATCAGGTGCAATTTCTACAATTTACAAAGTAGCTTTAATTAAAACTCTTTCTAAAGTTTGATACCGTCATTGCCCCTTCTAGGTTATCGTTAGTGTCATAAAATTTTATATCAGTACGTTAAGGGCTGTCATACACGGATTGCTTAATCGGCCTTAAGCGATTTCGATTCGGAAGATCGCCAGATACCATTCGCACTACCTTGGTGGCATTCACAACTATGCGATCTTCACGAACCTCATGCTCGTTTACACGTCTACGTATGCACTGCCATTAAAAATGTTGCCATCCGTTTGTCACCTTTAAGAAGTCCGTGAATGGCGGTCTTTACTTAAACAAGGTCACAGCTATCTCTAACGTTATTTCCTAAAGAGTAGTTAATTAATTGTTAAATCGGAGATATCATTTTACCAAGAATTAGAAATGTAAATAATGTAATTTAACAAACAATTCTTCGAAATAAACGAGGTCTTACGATTTTGCAAAATAATCTATGTCGAAATGATACAAATGTACTGACAAATTTTACTAATATTATAAATGCAAAGTTTAGATTTATGGATAGATGTTTGTTGGATGTTGTACAACGGATCTGTATGAAATTTGGCATAGATGTAGACCATAGTCTTGAAGAACACATAGGCTACTAGCTTTTATTTTTATTAATATCACGCGGAAGGAATCGCGGGCGAAAACTAGTAGCACAATAATTTTAGATATGTCACGTTTTTCTCGTGTATTCCTATACTCGTGTATCCGAAACATCTTGTCAATTCCACTATTATTAATCTAATGTCTATACATGTTAAGGACTGTAAAGATATTTAATAATGAAGAAATAGCTTACCAAACAAAGCTTCATAGTTCATGTTCTTATTCGACTAAACGGTTTTAGACAATGAGGACGTAAAAATGAAGATCCATAATGAAGACAGCAGTAACGACGCTGGCGCAACTATTACCTAACGGTTGCATCTTCCCAGTAGACCGTTACCTTTAACTTTGTAATATACGAAGACCTTAACGTCAAAGCGAACCCGGCGGAGGAATTCAAAATAAACCATCGTATTACGAGTACTAGCTATCATTCGCGCATCTCTGAAGCGCTCAGGCATTTATTACAAAATTCATTTTGTAAATCTGTAAGCGCTTGAGATATTAAAATCAAATATTTATTGCTCATTAAAGTTATTTTGTGCTGTATACTAAGTTATTGAAAGAGTTTATAAATTACTGTAAAATTTGTAATCTATACTAAAATTATAAAGAGGACAGATTTGTAGTTTTGGACTTTGTATGTATTCAATTCACGCAAAAACTACTATGCCGATTGAAAAATTATTGCACCATTTAAAAGTTATGTTATCACTGAGTAACATAGGCTATGTTTTATATTATTATTTAATTTTACGCGGACGGAATCGTCGCCGAAAGCTAGTAGTAAACTATTGCTTTTGTCAATTTCTAATTCATCATCTTAATCAACAGCCTAAATGTTAATTAAAGATATTAATATAAACCAATATTAGTGTAAAGCTGAAATCCTACCTATCTACATAAAAGAAGTGATATTATAATTACTTTTTAGTATAAGCTTGAGATTAAAGACTAGATTTAAATAGACAATGAAGTTAATTAGGTCGTCATTAATTTGACGCGTAGTCATATCCTGTAGATTTGTATACATTGTGGGAAATTATAGACAAGAGAGAAGTTAAACAAACTTTTATGTCCGTAGTTATTTTAAACCACAATAGCGAGGTGGCTGGGTGGTCGGTAACGGGACATTCGATCGAAAATCACACTTTTTTCAGTTATTTATTATAGGAATCAGGAATAATAATCAGAAGACAGCTATAGTATGGACATGATGACATTCTCGAGGAAGGCGATATAAGAATTACCGGTGAGGGAGTAGATCACACATCAATACAAGATCTAGAAGCGATTAAGGTAAACTTTCTAATCCCCGTCTACTCCTTTTGTTTCGGCCGTGAAATTACAGTAGTATAGTGTTATGTCGATTGTTAATATAGCAATTCAGTAAAAGTTTTTAATCTATTTATAGTAATGTTTAAATATATAAAGTTTTGAACATTAAGTGGGTGTAGGTGAGTATTTTTAGTCGAGATAGGCGATTGTTCGTGGGGCAAACGGTGCCGGCGTGGTGCGGTGTGGCGATGCTGGTTGCATTCCACTTTGCCGCGTTCCATTACGCAGCCCGGCCCGCTCGCCGCTCGCCGCTCGCTACTCGCCGTGGCCGCTCGCCCTTCCGAGAAAACACTGATGTCCCTCTCGCACTAAGCATTCAACTTTATTGCCTATGTTTTGGAATTCTGTTCATTGTTTGTACTTAGCCCGTTTCAATGCGAGTACCTAATGAGGCAACATTTAAACTGACAAACATCCGGTCAAAGGTCGAACACATTTTTTTATTTACCTACCGTCACACTCAAATTTCAAATCTGAAAAATCATAGTTACACTGTTATAATTTGCTAATGTCTAGAGATTTATAAAAATAAATGCATAACTAATGTATGTGTCTTGCCCATAAACAGACAATAACTCCCTTAGTGGAATCGAACTCAGTGTCAACGCAACGCCTTGTTTTACACCAACCGGTGAGTTACAGTTTGCTATTTAATATTCGCTTATCCACTATGGCGTCACACAGTACGCCTTTGAAATAAGAATAAGTGCGGGGCAATAAAATTGTCGCCCTCATGGTATGGTTTGGTGGAGGAAATCAGCCAGTCGGTGATTAATGGAGGCCAGTTATAGCAAACTTCCTGCGCTGCGGAGCTTGCTGTGGCCGGGGCGGTACGGTCTGCAAAAAAGAAACTAAGTCGATCAACACGCGAATCATATTGTCGCCGGCGGCGGCTTTGCTTGGTCATTGCCATTGCCAATTACAACAAAGGACTAGAATCATCGCATCAGTTCGCGCTGTGATTGTTACAGAAATTTTGTTTAAATAACATTTAAAATACATAATTATATTTTGATCATTAGCTAAACATCTAGCTTTTTTAATTTGTAACCATTACTATTAATTAATTTTCTAATGAATTGTACGTTTTTTAGTTAATGATTTTATTTGATGCTTAATAATTAACCAACTATAAAGCTGGTGTCATTTCAACCTATTAGGAGGGTAATGTTTTTCTAACATGTATCTTTGTCTAATTCACGGTGAGCTGTAACTTGATTGATGAATGAAGCTGAAATTTTATATTCTTTCCTAGATAAGGTAAGGGATTTTTGATGTTTTTCTTCATTACTAGTCTTAAATAAGTTACTGATTATCACCTAATTAAATACAGAATTAACAGAAATACATACCTACTTCTTCCGGAATTCGCGATAACTAACGAGTATTCTAGTTATGTTTTTATAATTAGATTGTAACGATGAGATCACATATATATTTTTCGATTACATTTTTTAGCTTTCTCGTTGCTTACATTTGTCGTCCAGAGTTAGTTGACTTTGATTGACTCTCAAGTTTGAAGAAATTAAAGCCACTTTTTCACTTGTATACTACAAGATTTAGCAGTTGACTTGATAAGTTGATGTCATGTACTGAAACAATTTCTAAAAAGAAGGATAAAGTACGCAAGTAATTATAGAAATGGAGTAAACATTTCAAAAACCTTGGCAAGTTGCCGGTCATAAAGACGCATTACTCAACTTTCTTAGGATTATTTAAAAAATTAGAATTCTTTTTTTAGAATGTCTTTGTATTTTTGTACAGGATTTGAGTAAGCCAAACTATTTATAGATAATTTGTTTGTAGAATCTCAAAAGGCAACAGAAACTTCTTGGAAATATTGAAAGGCAACAAAAAACAGTTAACTGAATGGCTTATGGTATGTTTATTATTTTATTACTAACGTTAAGTAAAAGTAACTAAGAGATAACACTTTGTAAGAATTCTTACTCTTTGTGAAATAGTTTGAAAATAACATTGTATCGACGAATTTCAAACCAACATAAACCTGTAACATAACAGTGATGGTAAACACTATGTTTTAAAATGATAGATATTCACAATTCGCTATTATTTACTTAAAGGTATTAACATTGTTTGATGACTCAATTATAATCATTGTATAATTTAAAAGTTGAATAAAAAGTATAATATTTTTTTCACAGGTCTATTTAGAATTTCACTTTACAGAAATCGCTCAAGAGATGTTCTTGGAATATGCCAGCAATACACTGCGGTTCTTCTGGTTTTGATATCCAGGTACGTTGGTGACCTCTTCATACGCTCGTCCTTTAATTAAATAGAACAAACCTAAGGAACATTAGTTGCTTTCACCCTTTTTCACAACATAACTTCATTAAGCGTCGCATGATAACCTAGGCGCAGTCTAATTAATTTTTTTATATTTTTGGAATAAACAACATTAACAATTTATCGTCTAACTGCCATCTATCAAAACAAGTGTAGTACAAAGTTTGGTTGCGTGCGCTGCATTCAATGCACAATAATTTTAATGACGCATGATATTGTCACTATTTATTATCTATCAACAATATTTCGCAATATTAATACTCACTAACTAATTAATTTAGATAAGCGAAAACGCATACGTCGCCATGCAGATAATTTAACCAGACTTTGTTTATTTGATGGGACAGTCCAATCAATTACAAGACCACAAATTGAAGACGATAAACGCATGTTGAAAAAATAAGAGGTGTGTTAGGATTTAATATGAGTAAATAATAATTCAACTATAGCGGTGTACAATAAGAAGGTATTGAATATTTACATTATATTTATTAGATAATGTTAAAACCGTTTTGATATGATATTACGAGTAGTTATATAAAATAATTGGGTATTTCACAAGTACAAAATTAACCAATAACAATGTAATGTTTTAAATTGGATATTATACATCATGGATGGCTATCATAGTAGCTTTTGCCCACGACGCCGTCTGTGTGGAATTAATAAAAATACTTATGGCCTGTACCAGCAAATTGTAAATTGTCTGATAACAACCCAACGTGTATGTGATGGAATTTCGGATTTTGTTCCCTTATCTGACAGTGACGTAATTTTTAAGGTATCGGAACCGCTTTTAACCAGTGGTGGAACGGGTCCTTAGTACCCTATATGTTCTACATCTGTGCTTTGCACATAAATCCATTAGATGTTTTAGAAATACATAGTATCAAACATTAATCCTAACTTTCGTTTTTTTTTTAATTAATATTATTAAGCATGAGAAGTTCCTTTCAATTGTTTTATTTTTAATGAATGAAGTATTTTAAACGTTTACATGTTACTGTATTAACGATTTAACAACGACGGTATTAAAACCTTTAATTCTTAAACAAAAAGTAATAAGTTAATCGAAGTTACACATCAAAGTGACTCAGTTTACCTCCCAACGAGGAAAATAGTCATTTAGGTAAGTAAAACATTATAGTTATGAGCTCATTAACACGATCTTACGACCGGATACTTACTATAAATAAATAAGTAACTGGATATCTATATTTCGGTAACCCTAAAATAAATTATAGATTAACTTAAAAAAAATCAGTATTGTACATTTGGAGTACTTTGAAGTACCTAATCTATATCTGTACTATTATAATAAAGCGTAAACACACACTTCTTTGTTGCCTAAGATGTCAGCAATTACAGCATATTTTTGAAGAATACTTTTTTAATATAAAGCCCTACAATACGTCACGTTTTTGGCTATATATTTTCACGCCGTTAAACTTAGAGGTAAATATTTTGGATGAAATCCCTAATGTGGGAAAGAGACCATAAGTTGCTGCCAACATCAAGGAAATATGATTGCCAAGGTTTGACATGTCATGTCAGTTTGACATTTGCCATTGAATTTGACAAATGTAAACCATAAAATAAAATTTTCATAATTTCATGCAGATGAAGCCACACGGGAACAGCTAGTCTTTATTGACTATCTAGATTAAAAGACCGAGGTATTTCAAAAACGCAATAAATGTTATAGTATACTGGACTCGCTTCTAGAACTTCCATTACTTTAATAAAGAGGACTAACCCATAGAGTAATAAAGCGCCAGCAGACCAAAATAAGACTTATACAATATTCAATCCACGTATAAATAGTAAAATTATGTTTTAGGGAGCTTTGCAAAAAGTTTTAAGATATTTAGTATGTTATTCATCTATGATTTTAAGGATATGTAATTAGGCCGCCAAAGATAGACTACGAAGTCAAGTTGATTTTTCAAGAATATTCACAAATATTAATTTATGTAGATTTAGCAATAATTATCATATTGTCAAACTGATGGTCGTAATAACATTTACTGTTATGTTTATGTGACTGTCGTGTGGCATTCAGGGTTGTTAACCCTAAAATTTTCTATGTATACAAATTTACTTAATAAAAAACAATGTTTAAGTACAATTTTACATGCTAGTTGAATATTAGTAATGTATGTTAATACGACAACATTAAATATCACCGATAACTTTATTAAAATAACAAACAAAAAACATCTCAAATTCAAGTCTACGTAATGTCCGATAAAAGTTAGTACGCATGGCCACCTCGCCGGCCGGCACTGCGATAAACAGCTGACGAAGATTACTGATCGCCTAGATAATTGATTCCGAGTGTCGACACTAAGCTTGTAACTGATACACGTTTTAGATAGTCGGTAACCTTACCGTACTCGTACTATAGTTGTATAAACTATGCGATATATCTTGCTATAAACAACGTTTTTATAAGAGGGGACATAGGAACAGCAAGCCGTCTGTTATCCAACATTGACATCCTCCAGCTGTGGTCATCTTCTAGGAAGAAGTAAGCTCTTATTTTATGAAATCCATTATGTCATCTGTGTTATAGCCAAGGATATTATTATCCTGTCACATTAGGAATTAACGTAAAACCTTGTTCTCTTCTGATTTATTTAAAAATATGTGCGGAAATGAGTTTTCGACCAAAGATAAGTTATTATTACAACGCTTTTTCCATATCTAATATCAGAAATAATTTTTTTAACACAGTAGGTAAGGTAAGTACGTAAGTAAAGCTAGACTTAGCTACTTTGCTTTTTATATCCTAGTTACATATTTCTTAGGCCAGTTGAGCGGTGCGTTTTAAACAAGTTATTGTGCGGCAGCAACGGGAATAGATATACCATTTTTTTAAGTAATTAACGACGCGCCTTTCCATGTTGGTTAAATTTCACACACTCAGTGGGAAAATCGAGTCGTTCGTAATTAACCGCTGTCATGTCGCCACTCCGGGTAGGTTATACAGGACCAAGTGAGTTCTGTGGCGTGGTCACTCTTATAAAAATCAATCCTCGGAATTCATCTCATTTTGTAAATACTAGAAGAAGCGAGACTCTGGCTAGCGATGGCGTGCGAGCGAGCGAGAAAACGCGTTATGTATTATTATTCGAGCGTCGAATCGGGAGAAACCTGCGTGCGGGCCTCACGGGCGGCACCGCTACCCGCGCCGCCCCGCTCCCCCGCCGATCATATGTTCGTGAGCGAGGCGCGCGCCGGCGCTCTGCCGCTCACTGCGAGTCGCGCACTCGTCGCCGCCGCAACACCGCCAGTGGCGCTTGATCAGCTGTCCGCGCGGAGCAGCAATAGCGAGTACCGCTCCCGTGTCCGGCCGGCCGCAGTTCGGTGCGCGATGGACCTACTGTGCGAGGAACGCGTCAGCCCGAGTAGCGCCAGCAGCGCAGGCGAGCCGGCCGCGGCCGCGCCGGTCCCGCGCGCTGCCGGTTGCGACCCCGTGCTGCTGCGCCGCCGCGTGCTCGACAACCTGCTGCGAGCCGAGGAGCGGTACGCCGTCACAGCCAACTACTTCGCCACCCTGCAGACGGAGATCACCCCCCACATGCGCCGCCTCGTCGCCGAGTGGATGCTAGAGGTGAGCGCACCCGCGAGGCGCAAGCGCACGCCGCACCTACACCGACCGTTCGCCATCTTGTCGTCGGCCACGTGTAGCCCTGCTGCTCCTCCGGGCTGCGCCCTGCGCGCCTGGAGTGCCCATGTGGCCCGCGCCCCTCTGAACCGCTCATCCCTAGCGGAACCGTTCGTTCGGTGTATATCTGGTGTTATCCCGATCCTCTATACATGCGCTCGTGACTCGTACAGTGTCTGCCTTGAAGGTGTTCACAATATCCGTATGATTTATGCTCTATTCGGTAGGTATTAAAGTCCTCGGTTGAATGCAGTATAGATGTTTACATGATCAGCTGATTGTGTTTTTGTATCTTCGTATTAGAATCGTATTAGAATATGACAAAAATATAATTGCTTATTACTATGAGATACATCCCTTAATAAATTAATAGTTATTTAACACTGGGGACATTACAATAACTATCTTAGGGAGCTATTTCCGGGAAGAGAGACAGGATAAATCGTAAAACACCTGATTTTATCGTGCCTGTCGATGTCGATAGATATCGATAGACTGTGTATCAATATAATTGTAAAAGGTGCAGGTTTTGGGCTGTGGTCGGCGCTCAGCGCGACATTTCGTAGGTAGTGTAATGGTGGGTCGCAGTCGGAATGTACCGGCGCGGCGCGGGCGCGGGCGGCGGGGCGCGCGCGAGGGGCCCCGGCCGGAACGCGGCGGTCGCCGACCGATGCGACTTGCTCGTTCTATTTGAATAATCAGCTGATTTTGACACGCACACAGCTGACGCCGGACGCGCACTTATCGACGCCGGCTATACAAACGATTGTCGGCTCCCCGCATAACTTTTGCGATTTGAATACTTTGCATTATACACTTATCGATTCTTATAATTTGTATGCCCGAATGACGCAACTTGCAGTCATACAACGTATTTCGCAACATGTAAAAATATAAAGTTCTAATTAATGTTAGATAGGTATTATAAAATAGTGTAAGCTCTAAGCAGTAGTGAACAGAGCATTCGACGCTGGGAGTAGTCAGTCAGCTGTGAAGTGCGGCCACGTGGGGCGGGCGAATGCGAGGCGGTGACGTCACCCGCGCGATGGTGGCGCTGTCTCGGGCCGGGTCCACTGCGCCTCGCCGTCCGTCGCCATCGCCTCGTGGCCACGTACCGTCTAAACCAGTCGCATACCGAATTTCAGCACAAGTATACCGAAACCGCGACTGTAAGGTCACTGACACGTCTCTATACCTACATGTTTCATATTAAATTAACTCGTACTTACAAAGTAGGTACCTACCGTCGGCATCGTCACCTTGCGTTTTGTTTGATAGAAAATAGATCCTCCGTAACGAATGTCCGTTAGGGACATCAATATGAAGTAACTAAATGTAAAAAAAAAAAAAATAATGTAATAATTATTATTTAATAAAGTAACCAAAATACAAATATAGACACCTCCCTAAAATGTTTTTAAAATTAATTTTGCTCCTATTAGGTACCTACTTTAGCTTGATCTACAACAAAAAAATGTGTACGTGTTTTCTTGTTGTGCACCGTTGACTACGATGGGAACGATTAATTTTCTCAGTACGCGGCGTATGATAGAAGCTCTGATTCCGAGAACAATAGATGCGGCAAAGCGAGACACGAGCAAGTCAGCTGACGGGGGACACGAGCGTGAGACGAACAGCTGACCGGCTGCCGACTACCGCTGCCGGCTAATGCACTATAAACATTTCTCTGGCACTACAATAGGTTCTGCATCCGCGCCGCTTCGGGTTACCGTGCGAAACTATGCGGCGAGCGCGCCCTCTCGCCTCTCGCCTCTCGCCCCGTTCTCGGCTTACCTTCACGCCGGTGTCGTCTGTTTATGCTTTCCCTACTTTCCTGAAACGCGCAAAGAGCCGTTCGACGAAGTCGATGTCTCGCTGCTCGACACGAAGTAAATCGAATATCCAACCAGACGTCGCGGAACGTCGCGGAAATTGATATGAGTTCCGTTATATTCCATGCGGTCGACTCGCGCGCTCACGAAAGGTTCGACCCATTTCAAATTCCAACCGCCGCTAAACTTCGTTAATTTTAAAACGCATAGCCAGACTGGTGAAGATGCTAGCGGATTTCCCGCAAATAACACGCTTTACCACTCGAAACGTACATATAACGTTGAACATCCATTGATACCGATAAGAATTTAAAATGCAGGGAAGCGATGCGTTTATCGCGACGAACATATTTTACAATTTTTATGAATTATATAGGTTATCAAATTCCGCGTGATAACTTGCTGATCCGGGCGCGACAACATTTCTCGTAATATATGAATCGATTTTGATCTGAGACATTATTGTGCAGGTGTGCGAGGACCAGAGCTGCCAGGAGGAGGTATTCCCGTTGGCTATGTCTTACTTGGACCGGTTTTTGAGCACGTGCGCGGTGGGCAAGAGCCAGTTGCAGCTGCTGGGCACGGCCTGCTTGCTGCTCGCCTCCAAACTGCGGGAGCCAGGCTCGCGCGGCTTGCCCGCCGATCTACTCGTCTTCTACACCGCCAACAGCATCACTCTTGCCGATCTCTGCGTAAGTCCCTATTACATTACTACCTACTCTTCAGCCAAGTAGATTTTGAGATATGTAATTAAACTAAGGTTTAATTAGCTCGTCCGAGGAAACAGCTGATCTCATTAATCATAAAGTATCGTATACTTTTTGCAACGGGTGCGCACCACTGCCGCGCGCTGCGCCGTGCCGCCCGCCGCTCGCGCTAGACGCTTTCGTGTCGTTCACTCCGCCGATTTCTAACTATACCGACCGCCGGGGAAGCATCCGTGAGAGATTGGAATTTCAGATTTGTGACGGTACATTAATTAATCGAACGAAATGACGATGTACAACACCTTGGCTGAATGCGCGCAGACATCGTGCACGTTGACTGGCGGTCTCGAGTTCTCTGAAGTTAAACCATGATTTCACGCCGTCTCCGATTTTTTTTTATAAATTGTACAAAATGATCTCTCTACATAACAACAGTGATGCTGAGCGAAGCTATCCAGTCGTCTATAAAAGCAATTTATACGCTAAAATCCCGCGCACTAAAAATACTTGTGTGTCATTCTTGTATCCAAAGAGGTGACATCAAAATAAATATATAAGTTTAATGTGCTATTATTATGAGTCTCGGAAAGTCACAGAAGTTTTATTAACCTTTTCTTTAACTTCGGCCACACTTCTGATTTATTGGTATCGCAGATACACATGTGAAAATGCGCTAAGGTTGTTAAAATTTCACATTTTTGGCATTAAACGGTCACCAGTTGTAATTAAGAAATGAGTCAAGTTCAATTTAGATTAATTCGATTCTTGAATGCTTTGGTTATGTACCAAAGTATTTAGATATCTTGTGACTTTCAGCGTTGGCACTTGCGGGCTTTTCGTAACGCCACGTGTCCGCGGATAAGTTACACGTGAGCTTCACGTGAGTACTTTCAAAGCGTATTAGCCTTTCGATCCGGCTGCTAACTATACGTGGTCACGAGTGATTTCGAGCGTTTCGTTATAAAACGTAGCACGAGGTGCATTTCGGTCGCGCGCCGGTCGCCGCCACCCGACGGGGCCCCGCCGCCGCGCCGCTGCGCCGGCCGTAGATAATAAGTGCACGGCGGATCTCAGTACGTCACGTTGTACTTCGGTGTGCGTTTCTTTCGAGGAGTGCACGCGCATTGCACTCGCGATGAAAGCGCTCAATACATCCTGATGCGAGTCGTACCAATTACGCCGTCACCAGGCACAAAAAGCCGCGGGTATCTATACGAAATCGGCGTTGCCGTCGCGGAATGCGGCAGGGCGCGGCGGCGGGGTTGCGCGGTGTCCCCTAACGAGCCGACTGCCTTCTCGGAAGAGTCGAACGAGAGCCGCGTTTCAATCGGACCGATTACAGACGAAGCGCGCCGTATATTTTTTCTCACGCCGCCGCCGACATCGGCGCGACCGCGGCTAACCTTGCCCGCTCGCCCGCGCCCAACTCATCTACGCCTCGTGCCGCACCGAATGAGATCGCACTTTAAATGTAACTATTTATAATTTTTCACGATTAAGTTTTTATCCAAACATGCGGCACGGCAGCCAGCTCGCTTCTCAGCTGCCAGCTCACTGCCTCTCACTTGTGAACTCGCCTGCAAGCTCTTCTCTGTAATCGACTGTGAAATAGGCCAATTATTTCCTGAAATCATTAATCTATGTGGGTAATTATCTCTAATCTTTGTTCAGCAACCAAAGTTACAATTACACGATAAACACTGTTATTTTCTAATATAAATACTTGCTATTTATTCGTTTAAAATATTTCGTAGCACATTCGTAGCACGTCTACAGATTATTGTCGATGTGTTCATTATGCACGGAGGGCGGCTTAGAAGTACAAAAATATACATTTTTATAGTGTACACTTATTTTATCGTTATGCATGTTACCTAACCGCAGTGTTCTAACGGTGCCGTCACACTTGTTGCATACTAAAATTATTCTGTTCTCATAATGGATCGTCCATGTGTGACGAATGCCGGAGACCGCACTCGCCGCCGACAATATCAATTAATATTTCATGCAAACGCATCTCATTATAGTTATGTTAAGTTTTGTTTTACAATGACTTTCTTGCCTATTCTCTAGAGATGCATAGATGCCTTTGTAAATAAAGCTGGCTAAAGAGGCAGGGGACGGGTCGGCTGTCTCCTCATCGCTCATCGTCCAGCTTCGCCACAGACTTGATGCTTTAAACAAAAAGAGCACGCTATGGCATTCGAAACGGCTTTAATGCTGGGTTCCAACGCTTAAACCAGCCCCTCCCCCGCTTGTTTCCCCTCTCCCCCAGTCATAAAACCTGCATGTTCACATCTACACTACCTCCGTAAACGTTTATTATAATTGAAGGATAAGTTTATGACTCACGGTGCCAGTTACACGAAACAGAAAATTCAATATTGTATCTACTGTACGATGCCATACGTTTAACGAGGGAACGTTTAATTTCACAAATGCATCAAATGATATGTCGCGACCTTTGCAACTAAGTATGTATAAGTTAAACACGAATGAACAATACAAACATATCTTACTAAAGTTATAAAAACGAAAGTTTAGATGGATGGATGGATGTTTATTAAAGTTTGAAACCTAAACGGCGCAACGGATCTGGATGAAATTTGGCATAGACGTTGAGCACAGTTTGGAAGAACACAAAGGCTACTTGCTTTTGTTTTTTTTTATTCCATGCGGACAGAGTCGCGGGCAAAAGCTAGTTTTGAATAATAATGGCGCGGCGCCAACGTATTGTTATAATATAGCCAGTGGGTCGCCAGTGTGCGAGGGTACATGGAGAGTGATGGTATTACCTCTTTATCTTTGTCGGTCAATAGCGATAATAAAAAGAGGTTATAAGACCCCGTGGCTCTGACGAGTTACGTTTGATTATTGATTGAGTGGATTGGTTCCGGTCTCACGACTTCAATTGAAAAACACTCGCATGACTTTAACGTATTTAGAATCCATTGAATCCTTTGAATGTAAATCGTGAAGATTGATGGTCTGAAAAAAAAACATGATCGTTGACCTCTTAATTACGTGCCATGTTTTTTCTCGCCTATTCTTCGAGTACGCGCCGGCAATATGTAAACCGCTTACTCGTGCCTTCGCAATTTACAGTAGGTATTACATAATTACATTATTTCAATCAATTTAATTAAAATTGTTACATTTCGAAGAATTTTATGTAGTGTAAACAATTCCTGAAACTTAAACCATCGAGAGATTTTTCTCCTACTATCTACTTTCGGGTACATTCATTTGACAATGTTATAACAATCAATATTTATTTTGTTCATCGAGCTTTTAAATTAGACGCACCCAAAGGCATTCCATCCAAAGGGAAAACTCACATATTTGTTTTCTCATCAAGCGTCTACGGAAAAGATATGAACATTATGTCGAGAGAAGCAACTACGAGCAGGATAGACTAAGAATTTCTAGACGTGTTAGAAGACTCGGCAAATAGACGGTACACCGATAGTTAACAATACCGGGAATGAGCGAAATTATACCGTCTTGTTTGCCAATCTCACGGCGAGACTCCGCCTGTTTCCGGTGTGAATGAAGCTTCCCTCCTCAGACACAAAACGCACGACGCGTCGAGGGGTTAAAGAGTGAGCTGCAGAGATTTTCGTTAACGATTCGTGCTTTCTTCGCATTGTTCTCACGGCGGAGGAGCGCGGGCGGTGCGGGGCGGGGGCGGGGAACCAGTCGCATTCCGCAGCCGGCCTCTTGCTGTCTGCCGGCCCCCGCCCGGACCCGCTCACACCAAATCTCATACCCTTATGTTATTCCATTACTTTTATCAATCTTTTATTAAAAGTATCAATATTTTACAATAGTAAATTCAAGGAAATAAATAAATACCAATAATAAAGTCAGCCAAATATGAACTTTTCGCCACAGATAAGTCTATCTCTTTAAAGTGACGCAATGTTTTAAAACGTGGATATTTTTTATATTTAATGCCATCAAAAGAAATCGTAAACATTTTATATATTTTCCTATTTATATACTGCAGACCGATACTACCATGTTAATTAAATAATAAAACCATGCCGCTTATCCCGGGACGGCTTTTGTTTTATTTTCTCGTGGTAAAATAATTGAAAGAATCGCCACTAAAAGACTTGCAGCGGTAATAAAATTATAAACCGGTGAGAGTAGTATAAAAAGCACTATGCGGGCGTCGACTGTCAGGCAAAAATATTTTTTTTTGTGGTTAGTCGAATAGCCGGGGAGGACATGATAACATCGGTCGCTAGCTTACTTCACGGCGCAAACGTCTTCAATTATAACACTTAACGACGTTAAGCTGACGTCAAAGCGCGCATTATTTAGCTTAGTTTGCGTAAAATCCAAGTCGCCAGTCGTTGCGAATCAAACGTAAATGCCAAAGAATGGACTTTGGCAGTCAATTCAGCGAACTGTTGGTAAAACGTTGTCAGCGTTTTGTAAGAATTTGCTTATGATAACACTGCGCAACCGTCGTTCTGTATGTCAATCACGTTCCGAATTGCCGAGTGGGATTTAATATTCAGGCTTTACTCGTTAGGCTTCCGATCGATCATAATCGTTTAACGCATCTAAGTCTATTATTTAAATCTTTATATTCATAAACTATCAACTGATGAATAAAGCTGTAAAATAACGGTCGATTTTAAAGTATTATAGTGTTGTACTAGTAGGTAGTGTTGTGACTAGATGTGGAAAGTTAGCAGTGTGCGCGTTACGGCCCGCAACGTGGCGCATTGTTCGCTCGCAGCAGTGCGCGATGAAATCGGATAGAAGCTGGGAA